ATCAAAAATAGATAAACATCAAAATAAACATCAAAATATTCATCAAAAATAAATAAACATCGTCCGGAAAGTGGTGGTAAAGCGATTAGTTGTCACAAAAGCTAATATCAAGAAGCTTTGAAATCAGCTTCGAAATCAACTACGCTCGAAATCAGGTTCGAAAAAGCTACGATCGAAATCGCTTCGAAATCAGCTACGATCGAAATCAGCTACGCTCGAAATTAGCTTCGAAATTAGCTTCGAAATCAGCTACGCTCGAAATCAACTACGCTCGAAATCAACTTCGAAATCAACTACGCTTGAAATCAGGTTCGAAATCAGCTTCGAAATCAGCTACGCTCGAAATCAACTACGCTCAAAATCAGCTTCGAAATCAGCTAATCAGTCACTGTTCCCAGATGGAAGAATATAACCATTTCTCAAATTTCTATCGGTCGTTTTGTCAAAAATCGTCTTCGAATGAAAGCTTATAAGTTTTCCAAAAGCCAAAAGGCATCCAAAGCTCGTATCATTCAAGATTGATGCAAGCAGATTTCCCCTTTTGATTTTTTTGATTTCCTTGATTTCCTTGATTTTATCGATTTTAACCAGTGACCATCATCAAGCCCGAACCTCAACCTCTCGATTATTTTGAATGGAGTGTATTGGAAGCAAAAGTATCCTCGAAACCCCAACGAAAAGTCGATTCGGTTCTTTTCTGTTATACTTCTGCAAGATTTTATCATTCAAGAATCAAAAAATTGATCAATTTAATCAAAATCAAAAAATAAATCAAAAGAATAAACATCAAAAAAAATCAATGAGGAAGCTATTCTTTAGCAATTTGTTGCATACACCCATTCGTAGAAATCGTCCTTTCCCATTTCTTGTCGAATCATGAATTCAGTAGCTGATTCAGTAGCTGATCTAGCTCGTTAGAAATGACGTGCCTGTTCTTGTTTCTCCATTTGACAGATCCCCATAAGCTCGGATCGTCTGCGAGTGAATGGCAGAGTCATCCGGATTCAGAAATTTGTACTTGTGGTTGACTTGAACATGGGTAAAGCCGACTTCCTTGCGTGTTTTATCCTCGTCAACAATTGGAGTAAATTTGTGTCAAGAAATAGCAAAAGAATGACATATCAAATGAATTTTCTATGGTTTTTCATGAAAATTTCATGAAAGGATTCAAATTTTTCAAATCAAAAGGTCTTTTTATCGTTAGATTCTCGAATACACTGCTGAATTCAGAAAAATATCGTTGACCAGACCCAAATTGGCTTCAATTTCAATCAAATCTTCAAAGATCAACAAAATTTCAATTCAATTTCAATTCAATTTCAAAACAATTTCAAAACAATTCAGTTATAGTGAAAGATTTAAGGAAAAAGAGAGACGATTACTTGAAGATTACTTGAAAAAAACATTAATAAAAGAAGACATTAAGGAAAAATCATCTATTAGGTTGATGCATAAGTGTTTTTGTTCCTTTTCGTCTGCCGTTTCAAGCCAACAAATGCACCAATTAAACTACGGTTGATTTCATTAGAAAAACCAATTATTTTTCTGCAAAATAACATTAAAACGGGTTTAAAAATATTTTATGCCTGGATTTTCTTGAGAGTATGAAGTCGGGTAGTCAAAAAGGGCTAACTCGATGATGCGGTTTAGACACCTTAGCTAAAGAAAACCTATCTTCGTGTCAATAGATAAAAGATAGAGAAAAAAACGTTTGATATTTCGCCAAAATTTCAGAGAAATTCATTCAGCCAATTTTTCCGTAGAGTTTTTTATAGATTTTTACGAAAAAGGCGTTTTTCACTCTCGAATTTGCTTGAAAGTGAACCGAAATTGATTTAAAAAGATGCAAATTGAACAAAAAAACACTTTTTTTATAGATTAATTGGTGAATTTGTTACTTTTTAACAGAAGTACGAAAAAACGAAAAGACTTATGCATCAACCTATTAGTTCTTTTGAGCGAAATTGATACGGGCGGCTTTATGGTCTTTTGTAAGTCGTGGAGCTTGCTTCATGAGTTTGTATTTGAATATTGTAGATCGTTTGACAACGTTGTCACAGTTTGGCGAGTGACCGGAAGCTTCATCTCCTTGCGAACCTCTTCGAGTGATGTCGTCGTGTTGGAAAGACGTCTCGTAATTGCGCGTTCGTCTTGATCGGTCAACTTTTTCTTCCGGCCCCGTGTTTCTTTCTTTTTCCGTAGAGTTTTTTTATAGATTTTTACGAAAAAGGCGTTTTTCACTCTCGAATTTGCTTGAAAGTGAACCGAAATTCATTTAAAAAGATGCAAATTGAACAAAAAAAAACACTTTTTTTATAGAGCAAACTATAGATTAATTCGTGAATTTGTTACTTTTTAACAGAAGTACGAAAAAAACGAAAAGACTTATGCATCAACCTAATACATCTATTAAACAGTTTTCGAGTTTTCTGAAAAAACTTTGAGGCACTTAAAAATGCATTGTAACTTAGGATTTAGGGCGCCACATTGTAATAATAGGGTACCTACTAATGTGCCAAGATAGTAAAGGGAGTTAGAATTTTAAAGCAAGTTGAAAAAACGCGAGCACACGTGGAGGACGAAAATTAACAAATGATTTTCTTGAGAAATGATCGGGGCAATTTTGCCTTAAAAGTAAAAGTATTCAGTCAAACAATTGAATATTTTTACGAAAAGAAAAGATTATATTAATCTGTCCAGAAAGTCTTTGCATTTCTTTTCATACTTCCTTTTGCAACCAACAAATGCACCAATTGAACTACAGTTTATTCCATTAGAAAGGCAAATTATTTTTCTGCAAAATAAGATTAGAACGGATTTTAAATGTCTTATGTCTGGATTTTTTGAGGACGTGAAGTCGGGTAGTCAAAAACGGCGACGGCTCGATGATGCGGTTTAGGCACTTTAGCTAAGGAGACCTATCTTGGTGTCAATAGATAAGAGATAGATCACAAAAAGTTAGGTATATAGATAAATTTTCAGAAAAATGGATTCAGCCAATTTTTCCGTAGAGTTTTTTTATAGATTTTTACGAAAAAGGCGTTTTTCACTCTCGAATTTGCTTGAAAGTGAACCGAAATTGATTTAAAAAGATGCAAATTGAACAAAAAAAACACTTTTTTTATAGAGCAAACTATAGATTAATTGGTGAATTTGTTACTTTTTAACAGAAGTACGAAAAAAACGAAAAGACTTATGCATCAACCTATTATTACTTTTGTGTTATAACTATTGTGTTATAACTATTGATTTTTATCTTAAGTTGTGAGGAAATTTGATGTTTTTATAGCTCTATTAAACATTTATTCAACATATTTTATTGAGCAATAGATATAATTTCATTTTTCTTTGTTTATAATCATTCATTAATGTTTATAATCATTGCATCTTCATTTAAGGCATCAACTTATGTTCATAGAAACTTTTTGTGAAGGTGGGAAAATGATTGGTGACGTTGAAGTGAAAAAGGTTTTGATTGGGGTGTCATCTAGCGAGAGCTTGCTGTTTGAAAGCGAAGTTTGAGAATTTCGATAGAAATTTCGACGAAAGAACATTTGTAGTTCGTTCATTGTCTAAATGATTTACATAATTTTTTGGTAAAGTTTTAAAATCAAAGATTTGTGAAATTAGTACATCTAGTACATTTTTTACATCTAGAAGGCTTGATTCAAATTTGGTTCAAACTTGATTCAAATTTGGTTCAAACTTGATTCAAACTTGGTTGAAACTTGATTCAAACTTGACTCAAACTTGACTCAAACTTGGTTGAAACTTGATTCAAACTTGATACTCATTTCATTTACCGTTGGAAAGCAGAACAAAATGGCGATGGTGACCAAAATCCCATAGCCGACTGCTTGAAATTTGTTTTGCAAAAAGTAGAGACTCATGTTCATTGGTGGGAGTTGCAGTGATGGGAAGAAAATCCACAAATACCAGTAACTGGCAAAGCAGATTGAAATGTGTTTTGCTAAAAGAAAAATTAGCAATTGAGTTAACAGCTAACCATTAATTGTTAGCTGCTAGCTCAATTGTTAGCTGTTAGCTCAATTGTTAGCTGTTAGCTCTATTGTTAGCTGTTAGCTGTTAGCTTAATTGTTAGCTGTTAGCTGTTAGCTCAATTGTTAGTTGTTAGCTCAAAATGTCACTTACGAAAGAGGCTGACAATCTGTGTGATCACAATTCTCTTTGTTGTCACCGTCCACAAATTGCTTTTCTTCAGTCCACTCGATGTGCTCAATCTGTAAAGTGTTTGCATTGAGTTTTGTTTTGGTTTTTTTCTTTGTTTGCGCATGACACCTAATACTTTCTTGAATGTTTAACGAATTTAAAGATTTAAACAAATTCAAACAAACAAACAAACAAACAAACAAAGATTTAAACAAATTCATTGTCTTCTCCCCACCTCCATAAAACAAAAGCCATCGCGAGATAGAGAAGAGAAATGCTGATCACGAATGCTCCTCTCACATAAACGGCGCCAAGAGTATAGATGTAATTCGGTGTTACTGCTTTGAATGCCAAAGAGGTACTGTTCTAGATTTGCTTTAATCAAAAACTCCATTTTTTTTTTATTATAAACAACTCACAGCTCCATTTTGATTGTACGCAAAAAGTGGGAACGAAAAAGACAACGTGTAGAGAGAAAAGAAAGCCGATAGCCCAGATTGTTATCGAGATGATTTGAGTGTTTCTGTTTGCTCCAAAACTAAAAACCTTTTCTACTCTATTGTTAGATTCTTTTGAAAAAGTTTTATTATGAAATTTTCTCAAATTTTAATGACAAATGACAATACACAAGGCTTTTTCAGAGAATTTTTGCGCACCACACTAAAGTGCACTAAACTACCGTAACCCTCCAATTTTTCTTTTTTGGCAACTAGCCAATTTCCTTGTTTTTTTTTCTATTTTTCACCATTATTTTGGTGTTTTTTATCAACTCGACATTTGGAGCCAAAGTTAAACTTATTTTAGACATTTTTGAACAAATTGCTTTGTTAAAGGGATTTTAACAGGGGAATGGACGACTGCTGATGTTGCTGTTGATGTTGCTGTTGCTGTTGCTGTTGCTGTTGATGTTGATGTTGATGTTGCTGTTGATGTTGCTGTTGCTGTTGCTGTTGATGTTGATGTTGATGTTGCTGTTGATGTCGGTGTCGATGTTGTGGTTGCTGTTGCTGTTGCTGTTGATGTCGGTGTCGATGTTGTGGTTGCTGTTGCTGTTGATGTTGCTGTTGCTGTTGATGTTGATGTTGCTGTTGATGTTGCTGTTGATGTTGCTGTTGATGTTGATGTTGCTGTTGATGTTGCTGTTGATGTCGGTGTCGATGTTGTGGTTGCTGTTGCTGTTGCTGTTGATGTTGCTGTTGCTGTTGCTGTTGCTGTTGATGTTGATGTTGCTGTTGATGTTGCTGTTGATGTCGGTGTCGATGTTGTGGTTGCTGTTGCTGTTGATGTTGCTGTTGCTGTTGATGTTGATGTTGCTGTTGATGTTGCTGTTGATGTTGATGTTGCTGTTGATGTTGCTGTTGATGTCGGTGTCGATGTTGTGGTTGCTGTTGCTGTTGCTGTTGATGTTGCTGTTGCTGTTGCTGTTGCTGTTGATGTTGATGTTGCTGTTGATGTTGCTGTTGATGTCGGTGTCGATGTTGTGGTTGCTGTTGCTGTTGATGTTGCTGTTGCTGTTGATGTTGATGTTGCTGTTGATGTTGCTGTTGATGTTGCTGTTGATGTTGATGTTGCTGTTGATGTTGCTGTTGATGTCGGTGTCGATGTTGTGGTTGCTGTTGCTGTTGCTGTTGATGTTGCTGTTGCTGTTGCTGTTGCTGTTGATGTTGGTGTTGCTGTTGATGTTGCTGTTGATGTCGGTGTCGATGTTGTGGTTGCTGTTGCTGTTGATGTTGCTGTTGCTGTTGCTGTTGATGTTGATGTTGCTGTTGATGTTGCTGTTGATGTCGGTGTCGATGTTGTGGTTGCTGTTGCTGTTGATGTTGCTGTTGATGTTGAGATTGATGAAAAATACATTAATACATGCATTAGTTGCCCTGTTAAAATCCCTTTAACAAAGCGATTTGTTCAAAAATTTCTTAAATAAACTTAACTTTGGTTCCAGACGGCGAGTTGATGAAAAAAATAATGAAATGAAAAATAGGACAACAAAGAAATCGGCATGTTCAAACATTTCCATTAATTCAAGTCAACTTTCTACTAGATAATATCAAAAGTGAGAGAGATCCATGGACAAATGAGTAAGCGCATCAAAGCTGCGGTCATCTCATATGCTCCAACTAATAATTCATTTTTTTTTTACCAATGTCCCATTGAAACGTTAATGTTTATTACAAAATAATGTTTCTGTTAACTTTTGATTAGCAATAGTACGAAAATTTTGTTGTTAACTAACAAAAATCCCATACAAAATTAGATAAACACAGTTTTTTTTACGTATTTTTTTTTCTCTGGGGACACTTTTACTCTGAAGAGAGAGAAAAAAGTTATTTCTTTGAGCCACTTTTACGTGCATTCCTTTCAAAACAAACATTTTCACGTACTCAGATAGACAAAAAGTCAAGAAATCATCTTGGTCACAAACTCTCTCAAACCTCAATTCTCAACCAAGATCACTCACTCTCTGATAGGAGATCGGTCTCCAGACGCACCAGAACCGAGAAACGGCAATCACCAACTGAAAACAGAGGACGATCGTTGGCCAGACTGGAAAATGCCAGTTTACAGTTTACAAGGAAATTTACAAACCAATAGATCACAACTTGTAAGCTATTGATTTCTAAACAGGCATAGAAAAATAGACTACGTTCTAACAGCTTGTACTACATTTTTAACTTCTTGTACTACAATGACTTAATCAAACTTGATTTCAGTTGGATAATTTAGTGTTTTTCCTCTTTCTGTGAAACGACTCATCAAATTTAAATCTTTAAAAACAGAAGGTACTTTGGCAACAGAAAAATCGAAAAATGATCTTTCAGCAAGATTGGGCTAGAGGAAAATCGACTCTGGCCTTTCTTGACTTCGAAATTTAAATTTGTACAATCAAGGACTTTGGGTCAATGGTCAACAAATAGTCCGGATCAAATCTGTTAAATTTTTTTGATTTGAGGATAGAGGAACGTCTAAAGACCAGAAAAATCACAAATTTGGATAATCTAAAGAAATTTTTGATCAAGGAATGAAATGATTTAGATGTGGACTACTTTCGGCGCTTCTATTCAAGTCTATTCAACTCTGCATCGATGCCATTTTGAGGCCATTTGTTGTCTTATTTCAAAGTTTCAAATCAAAAAACCTAGATCATCTTTTAGTGGTTTTATACGGGGATCCGATGATTTAGTTTATGTTGGCAAATTGAGTGATTGAGTTGAGTTGAATTGATTTTTACTTAATTTTTCAGCCTACTCATCTCTTTCACCAACCTGTCGTGTTCGCATAACTGATCTTCCCAATCCACCATCCGTTATCAATCCAAAATTGTCGAAAAAACCCGAAATTAGCGGGCTCTTTGATTAGCATTTGATCAGCATACAGATCAAAGTTGATTAGTACTAAAACGTTTTGAAAACTTTGAGTTTTTGAAAATCATACAAATATTCCGCACAGATGTCAAGAATATCGGGCAAAGAGCCGTGTTTTTCCCGAAAGCACAATAGATGAGAAGATCGCCGATAATAGCAAATGGAATGGAGAAGTCCATGAGGAGTGACGCGAAGTTGATCAACGTGAAAGACATCTAAATAGAAAAAGAAGTTTAATGTGAATTTGACGGTGATAGTGACAGGCAGACAAGCAGACAGACAAGCAGACAGATAGACAGACAGATAGACAGACAGATAGACAGACAGATAGACAGACAGATAGACAGACAGATAGACAGACAGATAGACAGACAGACAAACAATACAGACAATACAGCTCAAGAAATACAGAAAGCTCAAATCAAGAAAGCTTCAAGACCTTTATGCGAAATCGAATCGCTAAAAATGAGAAAAAGAAATGAAAACTGAAGTTCAAGTGATCCAGATTGAAAATAGAGATTTCTCAAAAGATTTTTATTCTTGTAGTTCAGCATTTCCAAGAAAATCACCTCATATATCTGTTTGCTAGACAAAAAAAGGCACTGACAAAATTTTCCGGGTACATATAAGGTATATAAAGTCTCCAGGGAAATCTTTTGGATAGATGTATGCATAGAAAAAGAAAACATGATTAAAGGACTTTTAAATTTCAGAATTTTAACAAGACTCAAGTCACGAATATCACCAATTAGTTGAATTTGTTTTCGTTTCCGCAATTTAGCTGATTAACGTCAAAATGTTGATAATTCTTGTATCACTGAAAAGATACTTACTATATTTTATAAAATAAAAAAATTTACGTGATTCTATTAGGTACGGAAAAAATTAATGTCATATTTTTTCACTAAAGTTCCAACGTTCGCCAAAATTTTTTATTTCAAAAGCAATTTAATCAAAGTAAAACCAGTAGAATCTATACATGATTGCTAACGTTTGGCTAACTTTTCAATTCCTAAAGTGTAGAATGCGGACCCCATTGAAACGATAAACTCCTTGATGCCATTTTCACCTCCCTTGAGTAGCAAAGCATTTCTCCGATAAGGAGTGATCGAGGAACTTGGAAAAAGTGGAAATCTGTAGGCGACAAATCAGGAGAATATGGAGCATGAGGGAGGGCTTCAATGTGCAGCTCGTTCAATTTTTGAAGAGTCTTTAGTGAACAATGCGGGTGGGCATTGTGTTGCAATAGGATGGGACTCTTCCGATTCATTAGAGTTGGATCGATCCTTCGAATTTTTTAGCTACATTTCGTTTATTTCGTGAATATGCTGATCAGAATTCATCGTTTTCCGTTTAGTAACTGAATAATGGATTAGACCTTTCTGCGACCACCAAACACTGAGAAGAAACTTCTTTGGGTGTAGATTGGGCTTCGGAAAGGGGTTCGATGGTTATCCTTTATCTAGCCATTCGGCTTTGCGTTTTCGGTTATCGTAGAGGACCCATTTTCATTACAAGTTACAATTCGATCCAGAAATGGCTCCTTTTGATTACGAATCAACAATGAATACGATGTGAGGTAACGGTGCAATTTCTTGATATTCGTTCAACTGATGAGGCACCCAATTTTTTCCACTTTTTTACTTTTCCGATTTCCGAGAAATGGTTCCCAATTGTGCGTGGAGTGACTTCGAAGTGCGTTACTAATTCTGCCTCCGCTGTTCTGGGATCCGCTTCTACCAGCTCCTTTAATTCGTCATTGTCGAGACTATCATGGCATCCCGGCCTTCCTTGTCATTAAGATCCTCATCGCCTTCCCGTAATCGTTTGAACCAGCGCTGAACTGCTCGAACTTCAGCTGGTTTCCCCTAAAACTTGATTAATGTTTTGGGTCGCTTCTGACGCATTGTGGCCAAGCTTGAACTCATACAAAAATAGAAGGCGAAAGTCTCGATTTTCCATCGATGTAAAACAACCTGAAAAACCATCAAGGAAGGTCTAAGCAAAAAGTGTTAAACAGAAAAGAAAATTGAGAAAAAATACTCAAATACATAAAAAGACCCAAGGTCAATAAGCATTTGCAGCCGTGTAGGCAACGCCGGAAAGTGAGACCCACAAATACGACATTAATTTTTTCCGTACCTAATATTTTTTTTAATTAAAAACTTTAGAGAAGAAATTTTATTTTTTTTGTTTAAAAACCCTGGAGAAGAAATTTTATTTTATTCAAAAGCTCTCCGAAAAGGAATTTTATTCTTTATTTATCTGCCAAAAATTCGAAGATTTTAGATCAAATTCACCAAGTCAATTATTATTTACACAAAACATCTTCCTAATACTATAGATTTAGAAAAAAAGCTTCAAACATATAAGAATAAGTAACAAACTTGATTTTTTATCAAATTTATATTGGCTTGGCTTTTATGGCTTTTAAAACTGGCTTTTATTAATGATATAAAATTTAATCTCTGTATAACGTCGGTCAATTTGGGCAGCCACGCAGTGAGTCGCAGTGCCAACTGCAAATTCTTTATTAGATTGGGGGGTGGGACAAATGCGACCTTTTTTTTTGCGCACCTCGACATTTGCGCACCTTTTTTTGCTGTAAAACGCCTTAGAGCTTCGAAAATATTTCCGTATAAGGGAATCGTATGAGTAGATTCCGAATTTCGACAAATCAGACCTCGCTGACACGTCAAATTTGGGCTAAAAGGCAAAACTGCGGAAAAGCGGCCGCGCCGTAGTTTTTCCTTTTAGCCCAAATTTGACGTCCAGCGAGGCTCCGATTCGTCGAAGTTCGAGATCTACGATACGATTCCCTCTGTGAAAGCTTTTCCAGCAGAAAGCAGGTGCAGCAAAATGTCGAGGTGCGCAAAAAAGGTCGCATTTGTCCCACCCCGCTTTTATTAATGATATAAAGTTT